TATAAATGATATGCGATATATCGCATGGAACGATACAATGCCACAGGACAAAGGATTTTGATCCAATATTTCTACTCTATAACAATGGCTTTTCTGTAAATAAACATACACTCAATAAAGGTAACTCCAAATAAACACAACAGAATGCTGCTCCATTTGATTTTATTTCAAAACCAATTCAGCTTTACTCATTCCAAAATGTAAAACCAACATTGACATCCAAACATGCCAGCTCTCTTTTCAACACTAATGGACCTTGTCAGCAGATAAACTGTTTCTTTTTAGGCATAAACAAACCCTTCTTGAAAAGTGCTTAATTTATCTCAAAAATATTCAACATTCTCTTTTTGTAGACCAAAAATACATACAAAAGTATTAAACTTAAATTAAACTATAATTTCGCATTAAATTAACCTGCTGCTGTGATTGTTCTGTTTAAAGAAGAATTGTATGTTAATACTTCCCAATGACTTTTTCAAAGATAGTCTACATGGTCTGGCAGCAAGACACTTCTCGACATGCGGCGCAATAAGTAATTCTTAGAGGAGGAGGAGATTCATGATCGAGTTTTAGAATAAAAAAGGCATCAACACAATTTTTTGTCTGTCGCACTAGCTGCAGCTGATTTATTTATTCAGGTGTGTTTCTGATTGTGATGCCATGGCGACGGCCAAGACGGGTTTCATTTCGATACATTTCACTCGACATTTACAAAGGCTATATAATCCAACGGCCTGAACAAGGCGATCTCCTTTCCTCCAAAATCCAAAGGGTTTCCACAGAAACTAAAGCATAATTTCATTAAAAAAAAACAAAAAAAAAACCCTTCCTCAACGCCATCATCTATGTTGATCTATTTTAGTCTTTGTAGTCTCTATTGGTCCTGGGTACGACGTTAAACTGCATCCAACTGGTCCTCCAGGTTCGGGGTTGGGCGTGAGGTTAACAACCTCACCCTGTAAAACAAAAACTTGTTACAGAAACGACGAGAGGAAGCCATTCCAGTAAAACACGGCGAAGAAGAGACGGCACATCCTTGGATGTATCTATGACGGGGCCGGGTGAAATCCAGCAGGAAGCCCGACCCCTGATGACCCCGATCTTTGGAACCAAAACCAACACCAGAGTAGGCACCTGGAATGTGCGCACAATGTTCCAGTCTGGTCGCATGGACCAGGTGCTGAAGAATATGAGGGACTATCGCCTGGACATCTTAGGCGTTAGTGAAACGAGGTGGACGGGGCAAGGGCGCCTCATGGTTGATGGAGCAACTTTTCTGTACTCTGGGAAGCAAGGTCAGACATTGTCTCTGAAAGGAGAAGGAAAATGATTGGCCACGTACTCCGACTGCCAAGAGAGAGACCGGCAAGTGTGGCCATGGACTGGATGCCAGAGGGTGGAAAGAGGAAGAGAGGTAGGCCAAAGAAGACGTGGAGACAGACTGCCAAAGAAGACCTCAGTGAGATGGGTGTCAGCTGGCATGGAGCAAGAAGGGTCGCCAGTGACCGGAACAGATGGAGGAGACTCGTCGCCCAATGTTCCAAATAGGAGCGGGCGGAACTAACTAACTAACTAAGTCTCTATTGCACGCATGAAGTACAGTCATGCGTGCAATCACTGACTGGTGATGGCGTGCAAAAGTGAAAAACAAATGCAAGTTTATTAAAAATAACATTCAAACCTGAATAAAAAATAAAAGGGCATTGAGAATTATGAGTATTGTGAATTATTTTTCATGTAATTATTTGTTCATTGTGTTGAATCAATCGATCAATAACTTGATGTTGTGTCAACGTGTGGCCGGCATTGATGTGCATGTGTCCAGTGCAGTGGTTCTTAACCAGTTCAAATGCACATTCACCGAACCCTTCATTATAGTGAAACATAAAAATATGATTCAAGAACTGTTCCTTCAGTTTTGCCGGTGCAAGACTAGAGTTGCTCAACTTGGCATAACAAATCATGCAATAGGACGTTGACTCCCATCATGCAATAGGATGTTGACTCCCAACACGTTCCGTACAATACATGTTGTACATATTCGTCCGACCACTTTCTTTTGTTTTTTGCTCAACATGGTTAGCATGCATAAAAAAAAATTCGAAAAAAAAAAAAAAAAAAAATCACATGATGTACTATCACGAACAGTCACGCGTTGACTCCCAAGCAAACTAAATTTCCCGCAGCACTAATTGGACAAGCAATGAAATGTGATCATCTGCAGCGGGCGTGTCATAACTAATTGACATGTTGAGTCGGGTGTGTCTGAACCTCCACAAAGGCTCCGTCGAACCCCTAAGACCGATTCACCGAACACTTAGGGTTCGATCGAACACAGGTTGAGAGCCACTGGTCCAGTGCCTATCGATGTCGTGAGATTGTGGCACAGACAAATCGATACTTAAATAGATGTATTGCTGAACTCCTAATGGCAGTTCGGATAAAGAATGGATGGATGGACGTATAGATAGATGGATAGATAGACAGATAGATTGAAAATATTTACGTACCATATTTTCTGCACTAAAAGGCGCACTGGATTATGAGGCGCACCCTCAACGAATGGGCTATTTTTAAAAATGTTTTCATATATTGGACGCACTAGATTATAACGTGCAATCTACAATGCATCCACTTGATGTCGCCACGCTCCTTCTGTTTGACTCGAGAGGCGTTCATGACCGCCTCCGAAAAACGTAAATTCACATTACTTCAATGAAACTACTTGACAATAATGTATTAAAACAGAAAAATCAAGCAAGGAAATCACAAAATAAATTCTATAGCCCCCATTGGCATTTCCTTAAGCGTAGCTCCAACAGAATGATCAGATGTCAGTAACATGTAGGAGACTTAGACCACATATGTCAAAGTGCCGGCCCGCGGGCCAAATCCGGCCCGCGAGAATGTTTTCAGTGGCCCCTGGGATGATATTGATTTATTATTAGAACCGGCCCGCGGACCGCAGCAAGCCGAGAGCCCGCAGATCTTTTACACGCACCAAAACTACATTTCCCACAATGCAACGGTGACGCGCCAAGCAGTCGGCCGCTTTATTTAAATATTTATTCGTCTAGCAGTCGTTCCCATAACAGTGACATTAG